TCCATCGGGGTCAGGAACTAGAGCTGAGAAACAACTTGAAGTTGACATTGTCATTAGATCACCTACGTTGCAACAGCAACAACAGGACAGGCCACCTAGCAGAACTGAACAGTTGACACTACAGCTAGAAGCAGAAAAGGAAAAGACCAGACAACTAGAGGAGTTGCACATGCAGCAGCTACCTCCAATCAGAACTGGCCGAACTGCAGCACCACCTGGATTTGGAGCCCATGATAATTTGGAAGCAGCAAGTGCCATTGGAACACCAGTAACACAGAGAAGGGGAGGCCAAACCCCTGTTTTCCAACAATATCAGCAACCAGCTTGAGACAGACAGTTGTGGCAAGGTTATTTCAGAACTTATGAGCAGGATATGCAGGCTCAGTTCATGAAAGCAATGACAAAAGGCCCACGGATGGATTTTCCTCGATTTTCTGGTGAAGATCTTGTTGGCTGGATTAGACAGTGTAACAAATACTTCCAAATGGCAGCAGCACCTGAAGAATACAAAGTGTCACTCTCTCAAATGTACATGACAGGAGATGCTGATGTCTGGTTGAGGAGATCTGGTTTGCTTAAGAAACAATTGTCATGGCTGGAATTTGGCAAAAAAATCATCAAAAGATTTTCTGCTCAAGGCTCTTATGATCTCACTGAGAAATTCACTTCTCTGAAACAAGGAAGCACTTCAGTGTCAGAGTACACAAAGTTGTTTGAGGATTTAATGGCTGAACTGCAGGAGGAAAATCCTGCATTATCAGAACCCTGGTTTATAAAATGATATGTTAATGGGATGAGAGATGGAATTAAGTATCAATTGAGACTTCTTAGACCCACTTCCCTGACTGATGCCTACTGTTTGGCAAAAGAAATTGAACCTTGTCACCCTCCTCCAGTGACAACTGTCAAGAAATCAACAACTCCTTATAACAACTATTGGCAGAAAAATATAGTGCCTACATCAGGGAAACAGGTGGTCAACACTGCAACAATTCCAATAACTAGTAACACAAAGAACACTGAACATGTGAACAGTCAAATTCAAAAAATCAGAAAAGCAGGTGAATGTTGGAGGTGTGGAGACAAATGGGTCCATGGCCATAAATGCACTTTAGTTCCTAATGTGCACATGTTGCAGCAAGAAATGGAAGAAAATGGTCCATATGAGACAGATAATGATCAATAGGAAGTAATAGAGGAAGGAACAGAACAACAGGAGCAAGCTATGTTTATCTCTGCACATGCTATGGGCCAGAACCTTGCTGTACAATCTCCTACAGTAATTATGCATGTAAATGGAAAAAGAGCAGTAGCACTACTGGACTCGGGGAGTTCAACCTCTTTCATCAGTGAGCAGTTTGCTATCAAATCAAACTGTCAATTACTCCCTGTCAGGCCTAGAAAAGTTTCTGTAGCTAGAGGGGGCCTGCTGCTTTCTACTGCTATAGTTCCCAACTATGCTTTTCAACTAGCCAAATTGAAATTGGAACATTCTTTCAGAATTTTAAATCTTCCTAGTCATGACATGATTTTGGGCTATGATTGGTTTTCATTGGTCAGTCCTGTGGCTTTTGATGTACCTCGCAATCAGTTCAGCTTCACTCTCCAAGGCAAAACAACAGTAACAGTTGCAGTTTATAATTCCAGTGAGGACATTTTGGAGATACAAGCAGAACAAGTCAATAAACTTTTGGACAAGGGTGTAGAGACTTTTCTGCTCCAAATTCACAATATAGTGGCCCAAACTCCGGATAAGCATTGCATTCCAATGGCAATAAGCAACTTGCTACTGGAATATAAGGATGTTTTTGCAGAACCAACAACTTTACTTCCAAAAAGGGAATTAGATCATAAAATTCCCTTGATGCCAGGAGTTGAACCACCCCATGTTAGACCATATAGGGTACCACATCACCAAAAAGAAGAAATGGAGAAGCAAATTAAGCACCTACTGGATAATAAACTCATAAGAAATAGCCAGAGTCCTTATGCAGCCCCTATTCTCCTGGTTAAAAAGAAAGACAGTACTATGAGGCTTTGTACTGATTTCAGAAGGCTCAACACTGTGACAGTGAAGAATAAATTCCCTATACCAGTAATTGAGGATTTGCTGGATGAATTGCATGGAGCAAAGGTCTTCTCTAAGATTGACTTAAGGTCAGGATACCACCAGATAAGGATGGACCCTGCAGACATTCATAAAACTGCATTCAGAACCTTTCTGGGGCACTATGAATATTTGGTAATGCCCTTTGGATTATCAAATGCACCAGCAACCTTTCAAGCTCTCATGAATCTTCTATTTGCTAAGTACAACAGAAAGTTTGTACTAGTATTATTTGATGATATCCTGGTATTTAGCAATACTATAGAAGATCATGTGAAACATTTAAAGCAAGTGTTGCAAATCTTGAGAGAAAACCAGCTATTTGCAAAGATGTCCAAATGTGCATTTGCAGTGCCTCAGGTGGAATATTTGGGTCATGTTGTTTCTGGTGAAGGACTAGCTACTGAACCCAGCAAGATCAAGGCAATTGTAGATTGGCCTACACCCATTGACATCACTAAATTGAGAAGTTTCTTAGGTCTAGCTGGTTACTACAGGAGGTTCATCAAAGATTATGGGACAATTTGCAGACCATTGCATGATTCTCTTAAAAAAAGGAAATTCCAATGGACAGCTGACCAAGAGACAACTTTCAGAAAACTGCAACAAGCTCTGGTTACAGCTCCAGTTCTAGCTCTGCCCAATTTCAATGTTCCATTCACATTAGAAACTGATGCATCTGGCTATGGTATTGGGGTTGTACTTATGCAAGAGGGCAGACCATTGGCATACTACAGCTCTTCCCTCTGTCCCAGAAATGCTGCACTATCTACTTATGAGAAAGAAGCTTTAGCAATCTTGGAAGCTTTAAAGAAATGGAGGCACTATCTTCTGGGCAACTCTGTAATCATCAAAACTGATCAGCAGTCCTTGAAGTTCATTACTGACCAAAAGATTACAGAAGGAATTCAACACAAGTTAATGATGAAATTGTTGGAATTCAATTTCACAATTCAGTACAAAAAGGGCACTACAAACAGGGTGGCTGATGCTTTGTCCAGAGTACTTCCTAAATGCATGTCCATGTCAATAGTTACTCTTGAGTGGGCCAAAGAACTACTCACCAGTTATCAAACTGACCCAAACACAAAGAAATTACAAGAAAAGTTACTGTTGCAATCTCCTTAGGACAAATCTGATTACACTATACATGCTGGCATTATCAGATTTAAAGGGAAGATTCTGGTGGGAAATGACAGTAAATTGAGGGATAGACTGATTACTGCCCTACATAATTCACCTGTGGGAGGACACTCAGGTATGAGAGCCACTTACCAGAGAGTAAAAGGAATTTTCTACTGGCCTGGTCTTAAACAAGAAGTGGAACAATTCAAAGAAGTGGTTAGCTTGGTTGTCACTAGCTGAATATTGGTACAACACCAGTTACCATACAGCATTGAGTCCTTTTCAAGCATTATATGGGTTTCCTCCTCCATTGATTGCTGAACTAGCAATGCCTGGACCTGATAATGAGGAGGCACGGGACTTCTTAACAGCCAAGCAGAACATGTTGCAGCAACTGAAAGAGAACTTGCTTCAGGCTCAGAATCGAATGAAGAAGTATGCAGATTTAAAAAGAGTGGAAAGACAATTTGAAGTGGGAGACCTGGTATACCTTAAAATGGCACCATACAGACTGGCAGCATTTGGATTCAGAGGAGCTCTGAAACTTCATAACAAATACTATGGTCCATTCTTGGTTATTTAGAAAATTGGCAACAGTGCTTACAAGTTGCAATTCCCAGCAAAAGTGCAAATGCACTCAGTCTTCCATGTTAGTCAGTTAAAAAAGCACTTGGGTCACAAGTCCATTCCTAGACCACACCTACCTATGGTGAATGCAGACGGCACCATTAAAACAGAACCAGCTCAAGTCTTGGAGGTCAGGCAAGTTCCTCGTAAAAACATGCCGGTGGTGCAGTGGCTTATTCAATGGGCAAATATGACAACCGAAGAAGCAACTTGGGAAGATGCCGAGTTCATCAAGCACATATTTCCCGCGTTCTTCCGGAGCACGACTGAAGCTTGGAGAACCAACAACATTACGCCGTGAGGATACGACGGTTCTTCAGGAGGGGGTAATGTCAAGCCGCGATATCTGAAGATTATCATTCAGTTAACTGTGGCAATTCCGGCACGTACCGATTCAGACAATCCAACGGTCCAGGCGACTCCTCAAGCTACCATCGTCGTCAGCCGTTAGATCTACTTTCCGTTACTATTACTTTTCGTGTGTCTCTGTTTACAGCGAGACTTCCACCTACTTAATAGCCGGGTTGTGGCTGAGCTGGGTATGGAATCTTGCAGAATTCCCTTCGAGGATGAACCCTAAACTCATACGGCACAGCCGATAGTTATATAGAGCCCAGATCGGGATCTCTTTCCTCATAATTCTCTGATATTCGTCCATACAAATCGCCTTCCTAAACCTGTAGATCGACTAGGATCTGACACGCCTCGCCCTTTTCCAAATTCTGCGTTTGAGCCGTCTATTCTCTATCATCCTTCTCATGATCCATGTTCTAGCCTTCAGCATGTCTAGTCAATTTGGCTACCTCATGATGCTTTATAGAATAGACACGGGTTACATAGTTCGATTCAAACACATGAGTACATAACCATCCGTTAATTAGAAGTCCAACTGTAACCTAACTCGTGCACTTCCATATTCAACGCACATCGAACATGTGCTGGTTGTGTGCAGCTTTCTGGTGTAGAGAAGTATGTTTATATTGTGTTTGTATCTCTTTTGATGCTACATTATGAGTCAATAATATCGAGAAAATATTAGTTTACACCATGAAGCCCCTCTGGCAACACTTTTGATTACATGTGGCGACGAAAATCTCAGCGCTCACTAGACTTGGTGGTGTTATGCGAACTATGAAAACTATTACTTGGAAACACTCCGTGGAGTTGGGTTGCGTGAACTCATGCTTGCAGTTTTCAAGAGCCTGCGAAATTCATCAAGGCTTATTTTGCCATCTTTGTCAATATCAGCCTCCTCTAGGAGGGGGTCAATAGAACCCTTCAGTCCTGTATTCTGCAGACAAGAAGCACTAAATCACGAGAAGCTTGAACTTATTACACAATTGGAATCTAGTAGTATTACTAACAATCTAGAAAAGTACAACGGACGATGTAATTAGGCAGCAGTTAGGTGTACCATTCTCAGTTCATTAGATGTGATATAGCCATCACCGTCAACATCGAATTTATCAAATGCAGCCTGAGACAATGATTTCCACTTCTCAGTATCATGTTCCACCAGCTGATGCACATGTAGTGTGGCAGCAACAAACTCTTCGAAATCAACAAATCCATCAGTGTTACTGTCAATCTGCTCAAGCATAAATATAAAATGTTGATGTGTTGTTGTTTTCTATAAATAAATAAATAAGTATCAATTTCTGAAGTAGAAATTGTGTTGATTAACTGCATGACTTTTATTCATTTCTTTTTGGATGATCATTGCTGCATAGTTACACAAAAAGGCAAACCACTGTAGGTGCAGGTATGGACGCTGGCATGACAGCAGAGCGCGTCCCACCAATTCTATTTGCAAACCTCCTTGATAGATTCTATCTGTAGTTGCATTTATTTTCTTATAGCTGGGGTTTGTATCTTTATCTATATATAAGAGATACGGAATCTATAACTCCCGAACAACCTGTATTTGTGAATCTCGTCCCGAACACGTCCTAAGCCGTCGGATGACTGCACTGATCTTGATGCAGGAGGACAATGCCACGTCATTTTCTTTGACCGTTCGGGACGACCGACATGACCACCGAACGCATTGGGTTATCCACTCCCCCTGCCTCCACCGCTCACGCACTTTTTCCCCTTTCTCCACATCACAGGTGGCGGGCCGAGCTCCTGTGGAGTGGCTGCCCTGGAGGCGTCGCCGGACACCACGGCGGGAGGAGCTCGCGTGGTGGACGCCCCGACGGCGTGGGGACGAGCTCGTGCCCGCGGCGGAGGAGTTCGTGCGTGGCCGCGGCGGTTGGAGCTTTGTCCGGTGGATGCCCCGGCAGCGTGGGGAGGAGCTCGTTCCCGCGATGGAGGACCTCGTGCGTGGCCTCTGCGGGGCGCAAGAGCACGACTGGTCCCTGGTGGCGGGCCGAATCCTTCCGTGTGCTCCTCGCCGGCGTGAGCCCATGCCGCCGCGATTTCTGGTCCGCGCAACCGGCTAAAGGTGCGGTCGTGGGCGGAGGCCGAGGCCGAGCGCCGCCCACCTGCGCCATCACGGCGTGCGTCGAGGTCGTCCCTGTCTGCGAGATCTTCGCCAACGCTGACCATCAAGTCGGCGCCGCGCTTCGGATACACCTCCCTCCGCAAGCTCGTCGCCAAACCGGTCGAGGTGCCGCCGTGGGCAGAGCCGAGCGCGCCCGTGCCAATGCGGCCGGCGTCGGGGCTGCCTCTATACACGTGGTCATTGCCACCGTGGCCATCACCAGGCGCGGTGCTTCGGGGTGAACGAAGCCAGTGACGAGGACGTGATCAAGGTGGTCTTTGCCGCCATGGCCAACACAAGGCGTCGCGCTCCATGCATGTTATCAGGCAGACATGCTGCTTCTGGCCTTCAGCATCCCAGATCAGACAGCAACGGGTTCAGGCAAAACCGAACGAGGCAAGCACAAGTCGCCACTAACTACACCGCCAGGCTGCTCAAGGCCTTCAGCAACACCATTGAGCCGCACAACTTCATTTACATGCAGGTAGCATCCCGGACCTACACAGGATGCTCAAGGTGTTCTGATCCCGTACCTGTAGGTAGCATCCTCCTCACCCCTTTTCATTTTTTCAGTTCATCCACCTTCAAAATTGCTACTCCCTCTGTTCACTTTTATAAGACCTTGAAGACATTTCAGACAATGTGCAAAACAGCCTATTTTGAGTTGTCTAAAACGACTTACAAAAGTGAACGGAGGGAGTACCTCTGTTTCCGGTGGTTGCTTCTGTTTTAGGTGGCAGCCGCTCCGGCTTCTGCTCCGAGTGGATCAACGGAGCCGTCAGCCGTGACCCCGCAAGCTCTAGGTAGAAGATGCATCCTCCATGTCATCACTACGATTTTTTTGTTGAAGCGCTAGTCTGATTGATCGATCGCTGTTTTGATTCAGTATTACTATGATTTTGTTTCAATTGCTTTTGCACTGCCTTTTCAATACAAGTGTTGTGGTGCCAACCAATCTTGGACATTCATAATTGCTGCTAATACAACTCACCGAATGTTGCTTCCATGTTCAATCAAGCAAATATGACCGATCGAATGTTTTGGTTGATTGGGTCAGTATATATGTCCTTGCAAAAATTTGTATGATTTTTTGATCTTCATAACATGCACCTTTTCAGAACATGCCAATTTTTTCTTTTGTAGGATGGCAATTTTTAACTTTTTATTGCCATCGCAATTTTAACGTTTTATTTCCATGGCAGTTTTTAACTTTTTATTTGCCAAGACTATGGCAATTTTAATGTTTTATTGCCATGGCAATTTTTAACGTTTTATTGCCATGGCAATTTTTAAATTTTTATTTGCCAAGACAATGGCAATCATTAGCAAACAACCATGGCAAATATCATTATTTAACTATGGCAAATTTATTTTTCGTTGATCATGTTAAATTTAGCAAGTGACCATGGCAAATTTAGTTCATAGATCATGGAAAATTGTAGTTTATCATTAATTAACCATGGCAACTATATTGTTCATTTTGATCATGTTAAGTTTAGTAATTAACCATGGCAAATTTCGTTCATCATAGCATGGCAACTTTTGAGTTTCATGCTTTTTCTTGTGTGGACCATGGGAAATTCCTTCGACCACGGCAATTAATATTTGGACAAATTTTAAAATTTCATACAAACCATGGCAAAAACATTTCCGTAGCACAGCTACTTATTTTTATATGAGAAGTGTGCCGCATACATCATTGCAAACTTCGTAACTTTTTTTGGATAGTCAAATGATAATTGTATGATTCTTTTTATCTTCATAACATGATTCTTTAGGAACATGGCAATTTTTAGTTTGTAGCATGGAAAATTCATTTATATTTGTTAGGAAAGCAACTTATCTTTATTGAAGGCCCAAGAGGCATATATATATTACATATGACTTGAGGTGTAAGGAAACTAAACATAGACTAATAAAGACTCCTAGACCAATACTAATACTCCTTTAACACCCCCTCTCAAATGCAAAGTGTAATATTAAAAAAAATGATAATCCAAATCCGCATCTTGAGAGTGTCGTCGTAGCTTGAAGAGTCTTCAAAACCTGCCGAGTCGCCAAATGGGATAACGAAGAGATGGCACATGAGAGGACGACACCGCATCAATAGAAGATACAAGAAAAGTATTAAGAGAAGATGGGTTGTCAAAAGAAGATGGGACATCAAGAGAAGAAGCATTGCTTAAAGAATCATGGCCCATGAAAACCGACGGCGAAAGAAGCTCGGCGGCAAGAGAATGGGCTTAGATCAACAATGCAAAAAGGGGCCACAGGAATCCTATAGAGAGGACAATGACCAGAAAAAGGCTGACGGACAAAGCTATTGTGGACTAGCATGACATGAGAAAACACAAAATATCAACGGATTTGAAAGAAAACTAGAAAGCTAGAAACACATACTAGAGTAGATGCAATAGCAGCGGATGAAAATCATGGCAGCGAGGCCAAAACAGCAAAGTAGCAGCGAAGTAGCAAGTGAGCAGAGAGGTAGTAGCACACTAGCAGTAGAAAATAGCTAGCTAGCACCCAGTAACAACAGGAATCAGCTAGCATGTAGGCAAGCACGTGGGTCAAGAGGAGCACACGCAGGCGGAGAGCAGAGCTGGACGAGGCGACTCCAATTTAGCCTGCAACGCGGTTACCGATCGGGCGCACTGGTGTGAACGTGGCGCAGTGGCAACCAGGTCGAAGCAGGACTTTGACCCATCGGGCGGATTGGGTCGGCAGCCTTCCATGCGGGAGATCACGGCTGGGCAGGCACCCCGTGGTAGGTGCCCGTGCCCACGTAGCTTAGGAACGACGGGGGAAGATGAGATCGACCCAGAACAGATCGATCTAGGGGGAGATGAAAAAAAATTGCGGATCGTAAGTCGAGTTGCGGCATCCGGAGACCTAAACCTAGGCTCTAATACCATGTTAGGAAAGCAACTTATCTTTATTGAAGGCCCGAGGGGCATATATATATATTACATATGACTTGAGGTGTAAGGAAATTAAACATAGACTAATAACAACTCCTAAACCAATACTAATACTCCTTAACAATATTGACATGGCAAATTTACTTTCATTGCCAAGACGATGGTAAATATTAGCAAACAACCACGACAAATTTAGTTAATCAATCATGGCAAATTTAGTTGTTGAATCATGGCAAATTTAGTTATCGAATCATGGCAAATTTATTCTCATTGATCATGGTTTAGTAATTGACCATGGCAAATTTAGTTCATAGATCATGGCAAATTTTAGCTTATTCATTAATTACCCATGGCATTATTTCATTAATGATGGCAATTTTTAGTATGATGCATAGCGGACGGCTAAAGCGTGCGGAGAATGTCAAGAGAGGGCAGGGTAGACCGAATTTGACATGGGAGGAGTCCGTTAAGAAAGACCTGAAGGATTGGAGTATCACCAAAGAGCTAGCTATGGACAGGGGTGCGTGGAAGCTTGCTATCCATGTGCCAGAGCCATGAGTTGGTTGCGAGATCTTATGGGTTTCACCTCTAGCCTACCCCAACTTGTTTGGGACTAAAGGCTTTGTTGTTGTTGTTGTTGTTGTTGTTGCGAAGAAGATGGCAATTTTTAGTAAATGGCCATGCCAAATTAAGTTTATGTTTTCATGGAAAATTTCATTAGTTACCCATGGCAAAAAAATCATTAATCACTGTAAATTTAGTGACCATGGCAACATTTAGGTCCATGCCTCATGGCTAGTGCCAAAATTATTCACTCTTGATAATATTCACTTTTTTGAAAACATGCTAATGCATGGGATAATGTGCATCACGGTAAATTTAAAACAACGGCAAATGTACACCACTTTTTAGCCACCATTTGGCAAACTTATAGATTTTTTTTGCCATCAGTGCGTGTTTTCACGACCATGGCAAATTTTCTTTCTTTTTGCATCATGTCAAAATTATTTTTTATGCAACCATGGTAAATTTAGTTCTATGGTCACAGCAATTTTTTCTATGCACCATGCATTTTTTAGTGCGCAGACCATGGCAATTTCTTTGCACCCACGATAATTTATTTTTGAACAAATTTCCAAATTTCATACAAACGATGGCAATTTATTTTCCATAGCATGGCAA